AAGGGGAAGAAGGATTGACCCAACACAAATCCATGGTAACCTATTGTACCTATGATTTTGATGATTACAAAACACATTTAAGTGACTAATTGATTCATTTAAGTGTGTAGTTAAAATGTCAAAAGATTATAAAATAAGTAAACTTGGATTGCACTTAAAAATGGACCAGAAAGGCTTGAATTGTGTAGAGAGTCGCCTCTTGAAAATTGCAGCGAGCTTTGGTGAAATGGAAGTGCAAAGAGCCGGCTCTAGAAGCTACAGCTAGCTCTATGGGCAAAAATTTGAAGACCGTTGTTTAGCGTGTGTGGAGAAAAGACGCAAAGCCGGCTCCAATTTTGCGGCTGGCTGTAAGGGTGCATTTAATGCACAACAGTCGAGTTATTTGAAGATTATTTAATGTATTTAAAGTTCGAATTCCAAAGCCGGCTCTAGGCTTTGCAACCGGTTGTGGAAGAAAACAGAATGTGTAGCAAACTTGCAAAGCAAGCTTTGCGTTTTGCAGCTGGCTCTACGGAGAAAACAGAATGTGCAGAATCTCGCAAAGCCGGATGTAGAAATGGTGAGTTGGCTGTACAAAGCCGGTTCTAGGAAGCTAAGCCGGCTGTCCTGACAATCCTGCAACTCGAGTTTTGTATCCTGCAAAGTATTAAATGACCCCCAATGGCTATTTTCGACCATGGGGTTATAAATATGGTTGGTAGAAGATCTGAAGGAGGTTTAGAGAGCATTGCATTGAATATCTTTACCTACCTACATGAGCTTTAACTTGAGTTTTTGATCTTTGAGAGATTTTTACTTATAATCCTCTTCTTGTTCTATTTGTGAGTAATCTTGGGGGTGTGATTAATCCTTCAAGAGTTATCTATTGAGAGGATTTTTGGGGTTTAAGTGTAAAGAGGTAAGATTTGAGATAAATACCTTTCTTCTTGTAAAAGGATTGAGTGGCTCTTTTAAGCCACTCTTGTTGTTGTTAGTGAAGAGTGTGGAGGAAATCCTTGGTGAGTGAAGCCAAGGTAGAGGACTAGGCTTAAAGTTGTTGGACCAAACCTCTACAAAATCATTGAGCAAGCTCTTTTTCTCTACTCTCTTTATTTTTGGTTTTGTGGTTCCCAAAAGGGGAGAATTTTTGGAACTCCAATTCACCCCCCTCTTAGAGTACATTGAGTCAACATAACCTATTAATGAGAGCAACTGGTGGGGTGCAAAGGGGATGGTTAAAAGGTCTTGATATTTACACTCATCCACATGATGTAGGTGTCAATTCCAGGCGGGAGCCTTCAAGGCCCCCAATAATGCAGCACTCTCCCTAGGTTGAGGAGTTACAACAAATTGTTCAATTATTGAAAGATGAGTTATAGAGGACTAAAGCTGAGCTATAGGCATCTTTAGTTGAGTTTGAGGTATCTAGAGCTGAGTTTGCTTCTATGCAAGCATCAAATATGTCTTTAACTGAAAATTTATAATTCTTGTACTAGCAGCTTGGCATGAGACCTCTCGTTACTAGTGGCACTACTACTCCCAAGACACCACATTTGTAGGCCTTATAAATAAGATGTTAAACTTATATATTTATAAATAATGGCATAATATTGTCATAAACTAGCTATTATTATCCCTCTGTTTTAGGATATTTGCCTTTCTTGGTTGTCCACTTTATAGCAGGATTTATTCTAAAGAAACTTTCATATTCTAACAATAATTACAAGAAATTAAAGTATATTGTGCAATTTTCATACCACTGTTGGTCTGGAAAACTTATTCGGACCAACAGTGGTCCGAATATAGTCCACAAAATCTAAAAACTTCACTTTTAATACATTTTCATTCTTTTCACTTAAGGACAACAAGCCTTTCTCGAGCCCTTTGGATTGTTATTACTAGTTTTAAGTGTAGGTTTTAAAGTATTCAAGGCATTTTGATATGTTTTTTGAGTGAGAGTACAACAGATAGGGCACGGTTTCAAGTATAAAGGAAAAAGAAAAGATACTATAAAAGATTTTCGAACCACTGATGGTCTGTAGAATTTATTCAGACCAACAGTGGTTCGAATAAACCTACTAGAATCTAAAACCCTCTCTTCTAAAACATTTTCATTCTTTTCGTTTAAGGAGGACCAAGCTTTCCCAAGCCCTTTGGATTGTTATTGTTAGTTTTAAATATAGGTTCTAAGGTATTCAAGGCCTTTAAATGTTGTTGTTTGAGTGAGAGTATAACGAATAGTGCATGGTTCAAGGTGTAAAGCAAAAAATAAAGGTTAAATACCCTTTTTGGTCCCTCTACTATAGAAAAAAGTCCCTTTTTGATCCTTGTACTAAAAAAATCCCCTTTTTGATCCTTACTGGTCATAAATCCGGTCCCTTTTTAGTTCTTCCGTTAATTTTTGCTCATGTGGCACGTTAACTTAACTAGAACAGCTGACGTGGGTATGCCAACGTGTAAAAAATGCTTACGTGGATTTAATGATACCCTCCATGTCTCACTCCACGTCACTCTGCCAACACAAAAAAAGAGAAAATTACTAATTTACCCCCATCTTC